CTGTGTTGTTTGCTTCTTGGGAAGGAAAACCAAGGAAGAGTGTGTCAGGAACTTTGAATTAGCAAAATGTCAGCGCCTCGGTTTGGAAATTTTGCAAATGCTTGTTCAAATTCATGCCTATGTACAGATTCATAAGCTGCAATACAATATTTGCTTATATTCTAGTATATAATATATTCTTTTAAAATATTGCTTTAAAAGGGGAATTGCCATAAAGTCTATCTTTATGTTTTTAATTATGTGTTTAATTTATGTGTTTAATATTGTGAAATAATGGATGAGTTAAGCTTTGCCTTCTTTCCTTATCACTCAGGAGACATCACTGATGTTTTTTCCTGTGCAGGCTTAATCATCCAATAGCACACAGAATGGAGATGAAGATATAGATAGGCAAATTGAGGAAGAAAAGTCACCCTGAAATTTGCTGATTTAACAGAGCACAAACAACGTTGACCTCGAGGGATAGATTCACTGAGTTCATGGTGATTTGTGTTTAACTAGAAACCACTCCAGATGAATGCTTTGGAGAGGACTTCAGTCTTGGGGTTACTGATCTCCATCACTATTTTGGTGCCTGGTAAGTGTGACATTCTTAGGTTTTAAGGAACTGAAACCACTGTTCTGGCTAACTTTGAACTATGATAATCCTCTTGCCTCAACTTTCTAACTCTTGGGATTACAGGCATGTACCTTTGTAGCAGGCTAACAAAATAACTTTAACACTCTACTTTTAAACTGATTATTTTTAATAAGCAGGTTTTCTACAAATATTCTACCAATGACATTATTTTGTTAGTTGTTATCATGACTTTGAATATGAGTGACTGCCCAAAAAGAAATATTATAATATATTTCTTTCTTCTCCCATATTTAAGGTTGTACCCCCGAAAGAAAGGGGAGACAAACACACACACACACACACACACACACACACACACACGCACACAGAAAGAGAGAGGGGGAGGAGAGGGGGAATTCTGAGAAGGGAGCAGTGGGATCCTGAGTAAAGCAGAGGCACTGAACTCAGATAGTAAGGGACTGTCCTCTATTATAAGTGAAAAAGTTACAGGTGTCATAGATAACTGAGTCTTAAGCATTTGAAGTAAAGCTATTAAAAGTTATTAATGGGAAGAGGGAGCAAGATAAGGACCAGAGTCTGAAATAACTATTACAAAGACGGGACAGACCAGCCTGCTGGCTAAGGTGGTAGAACTCTAGTCTTAGGTCTGTTTCACCAGGACCACAATTCCTAAGCAGGCTGATCAATGTGAAATCAAATTGATTTTTACTTCAAATACAAAAATACAAGTTTATCTCCTACTTCAAAATGTATAAAATAGAAGTCTGACATAAAATACACTATTAATAATCCATTTTCAACAATAAGGGAAGCATGAGAGGCCTTTGCATAAAGTCAATTTAACAATCTTCAAATTTTTAAAAACTATATATGTACATAATGGGTGTGTGTGTGCTACCATTGCTCAACATTTGTGTGGAGGTCACAGGACAACTGTAGGAGTTGTTCTTATCTAGGTGAATTTCAGAGTTCAAACTCAGCTCCTCAGGCTTGGCTGCATACGCCTTTACCTGCTGAGCCATCTTGCTGGCCTCTAACCTTAAAAGTAGAAATCTGTTTTGTGATCCTACACATAATCAACTTTGATAAACATACTAGGACACTTGAAAAATATATATTATTACATTGGAACTGTTTTATAAATGTCTCTTTGATGACTATAAATGATATTGTTATTAATATAACCTATGTCTATACTACTATTCTGTCTAATTTTATTAATCAATTAATTTATCTTTTAAAAAAATAATCATTTTTCAATTTACATATTATTCCCAGTTTCCACACCCTCCTCCAATCCCGATCCCTCCACCTTCCTTGCACCCCACAACCCATTAAATCTGCAGAAAGGGTAAGGCTTCCCACGGAGAGTCAACAAAGTCTAGCACATTCCTTTGAGGCAGGACCAAGGCCCTCTCTACTATATCTAAGCTAACCAAGGTATACTTCCAAAGAGTATGGGCTCCCAAAAGACAGTTCATGCAGTGTGGATTAATCCTGGTCTTATGGACAGTGGCCACATAGAGTGTCCTTGCCATACAACTGTCATCCACATTTAGAGGGCCTGTTTTGGTCCTATGCTGGTTCACCCACTATCAGTCTAGAGTGAGTGAGCTCCCATTAGCTCAGGTAAGCTGTTTCAGTGGGTATCCCCATCATGGTCTTGGCCCCTTTGCTCATATTATAGCTCCTTCCTCTCTTTGACCAGACTTTGGGAGCTCAGCCCAGTGCTCTGCTGTGGATCTCTTTATCTGCTTCCATCAGTTGCTGGATTAAGATTCGATGATGACATCATCAATCTGATTACAGGGGAGACTAATTCAGGCACCCTGTTCACTATTGCTTCGGATCTTAGTTGGGGTCATTCTTGTGGATTTCTGAGAATTTCACTAGTGCCAAGGTTTTTTCTGGTTCTATAATGGCTTCCTCAATCAAGATATCTCTTTTCTTGTTCTCCCTCTTTGTCCTTCCCCCATCTCGACCATCCTGTTTCCTTGTGTTCTCCTCCTCCCTCCCTTTCTCTTTCTCTTTTCCTCCTCTACTTCTACCCTCTCCCTACCTCATACACATACTCCCAGTTTTCTCAGGAGATTTTGTCTAGTTCCCCTTCCCAAGGGAATCCATGTATGTTTCTGTTAGGGTTTTCCTTGTTACCTAGCTTCTCTGAAGTTGTGGACTGTAGGCTGGTTACCCTTTGCTTAACATCTAGTATCCACTTATTGGTAAGTACATACTATGTCTTACTGGGTCTGGGTTACCTCAGTCAAGATTTTTTTTTTCTGGTTCCAGCCACTAGTTGCATGCAAATTTTAAGATGTCATTTGCTGTGAGACAATAGTCTGTATTCTGTCAATTGTATTTTAAATAAATGCTGATTGACCAGTAGCCAGACAGGAAGGATAGGCGGTTCAACCAGACAAGAAGTAGAGGCGGGTCAAGAAGAACAGGAGAATTCTGGGAAGAGGATGGAGTCTGCAGTTCTGACCCAGCCACAGAAGGAGCAAGATGTGTCTACATTGCTGAATGGGTACCGAGCCATGTGGCTAGCATAAACAAGAATAATGGGCTAATATAAGTTATAAGAGTTAATAAGAAGCCTGAGCTAGTGGGCCAATCAGTTTATAACTAATGAAGACCTCTGTGTGATTTCTTTGGGACTTAATTATTGTGGGAACCGGGCAGAACAGAAACCACCAACAGTCATTTTTTTCACTGCTGAATAGTACTCCATTGTGTAAATGTACCACATTTTCTTTTCTTTTATTTTTTAACAAAAGAAAACAAACTACCTTTTTTCATTTTACATACAAATTCAAGTTCCCACTCCCTCTCCTCCTCCTATTCCCTCCACATATCTCCCCATACCCTACCCATCCACTCCTCAGAGAGGATAAGGCACATTGTTTTGAGGAAGGTCCAAGGCCTTCCCTACCATATCTAGGCTGAGCAAGGTATCTATCCAAAGAGAATAGGTTCCCAAAAAGTCAGTACAAAGTCTGCCCCAACCATACAACTGCCTCTGACATTCAGCTGGCTCTTTCCCTGTGTGACTGAAGTTGGCGAGCTCCCATTAGCTCAGATAAACTGTTTCAGTGGGTGACTCCATCGTGGTCTTGACCTCTTTGCTCATAGTCTCATTTCTCCCACTCTTCAACTGGACTTTGGGAGCTCATCTCATTGCTCTGATGTGAGTCTCTTCCATCAGTTGCTGGATGAAGGTTACATGGTGATATTTAAGG